ACAATAACTATTACTAGTGTCATATCACATGATGTTTCACTTTCTTTAGTTTGAAATAGTATTTGGTCTTTAGAGGATTGATATTTTCCATGTTGGCAGGTTGTCCTAGAAGTTAGATGGCAAGAAGGTTATATGGCAATGGCTGCAGTAATGCATGTATTTTCCTTGGTCAATTACTAATTTCAATTGTTGATCTTCTCATCACTGGCTATGTCCGTGCACGCAATCTCTCAGTGAATCAGCTGGTATTTGTTTTTTTTTCTTTTAAATATTTTTAAGTTTTTTTTGTCATTTTGTGGCTTGGTATATTTGATTGAGTAGCTAACCTAGTTTTCATCAGGTTCATGAATCGGGTACTAGTGATTTTCAATTGGGCAGGATTGAACTTCTCAAGGATCCATGTCATTGAATTTGAAAAAAGAAGGTGATTTTATGGATGCGGATGAGATAAATGCATCACAGGTATATAGTATTTTTATGAATAATGTTAAATGAATATTCGATTAGTTTGTATACTTTTAAACTTTACATGATGTGTATATAATATACAACTGATTTTCTATTCTGATATGTTTTTTAAATTCAATAAAACAACTATTTGAACAAGTAAGATCTTCTTTAGGGTTCTATTCTGGAATTTGTGATTTGGATTTGGGGTGTTTCTGTTTTATAACAAGTTTTGTGTATATTCATCTGATGAATTTCTATAGAGAAGTTCATGATCTAATTAACATGGATCAGAAACTATCTTTCTGAATTCTAATTCACTTCTGATTATATTTCAGGTCAAGTTTGTGAATCCATTAGTGCAATCACCCATGGTTAATAATGTGGCTTATGAAACAATGGTGAAGCTAGAAAAATGTCTTGCTCCAGTCACTGAGTCTGTTTGAGAAAGTAATGCCTGTATTATTTGTGTCATGCAAATATGGCCCCCCTTCCAGTCGATTCTTTTAGTTTTGTTTTTCCGGTAAGAATTACGAATTATTCATATCACATGACCTTAATCAATATAAGATTTTGAGAAAACACTAATGTTTCTTGTGCTTTTGTTCAATAGATAATGGAGAGAATACTTTCATCTCCTACGAAGACATGGCTTCATGGTGATGTACTTTGAATACTTTTCCTACATATGGATCCAATATTACCCCTCCCCTGACTTAAAATGCTTTCAGTTAAGTTTTTAATTATCTACACATTATTGTTTCAAATTTCATGTTGATATTTCTAATTATCAAAACTATGAATTATATGTAATTCACATATGAATTACATGTGATTCACACGTAAATTACATGTAATTCACATATGAATTACATGTAAATTACATGTAATTCACATATGAATCAAATGTAATTCACATATGAATCACAAGTAATTCACATATGAATTACATGTGATTCACATATAAATTATATGTGATTCACAAGTAAATCACATGTGATTCACATTTAAATCACAAGTGAATCACATATGAATTACATGTGATTCACATATAAGTTATAGATTCACAAGTAAATCACATGTGATTCACATGTAAATCACAAGTGAATCAGATATGAATTACATGTGATTCATATGCAATTCACATATAAATCACATGTAATTCACATGTAAATCACAAGTGAAACACATATGAATTACATGTGATTCATATGTAAATCACAAGTGAATCACATATGAATTACATGTGATTCACATGTAATTTACATATAAATCACATGTATATCACAAGTAAATCGCACATGAATTACATGTGATTCACATCTAAATCACAAGTGAATCACATATGAATTACATGTGATTCACATGTAATTCACATATGAATCACATGAATCACATGTAAATCATATATGAATTACATATGATTCACATGTAAATCATATGTCATTCACATATAAATCATATGTAATTCACATATAAATCACATGTAATTCACATTTGAATCTTACATGATATATATATATATATATATATATATATATATATACATTTTTGTGAGTGTTCTAGCATTAATCAATTTTTTTTTAAAAAATTTTGTAGATTTGGAAGAATTTGTGGAATATATTGAAGAGGCGAAAGTGATAAATTGAAAAAAAATATGGAAATCTTGACACGAAGAAATGATGTCACTTTAAACCTTTGTAGCATTTTTTATTTTTTATATTTTTATTTTGTATAGAATAAACTATTTGTACTATTATGTTTATATATTGGTTAATAAATATGGGTTTTTTATGAAAAAAATACGCATATATCTTCCTAAAACGTTAAATAATTTGGTTAAAATAATTACAGTTTTTTTTTAATATTCCAGTTTTTTTAAAATTTAGTGGTTTTTAAAAATTTATTGGTTTTAAAAAATTGCAGCTTTTAAAAAAAATATATTTTTTCAGATTTTTTTAAAAAAAATTCATGTTTTCTAAAAAAAATTAAAAAATCTGCATTTAAAAAAAACCAAAATTATTATTTTTATTAAAAAAATCAGAAAATTTGATTTATTATGTTAGTTTTTAGACTTTTTTATTAATATTTCCAATAACACTAAAAATTAAACATTAAATGAGATTGGTAAGATGACGATCATGCCCTTAATGAGTTAATTTTGATCCAACGTTCCACTTTTAGTTCTCGGGTTCTCGGGAAACTATAAGTTCTCAACGGATAGCACCCCTATATATATATATATATATATATATATATATATATGGGAATAGTGAATATATGGATGTCATGTATGTAACATTAGGTATAGAACCATCAAAGTTAACTTCATTTGGACTAAAAAACACAATTTTCTTTCATTGTTAACTTATTCATATTGCTTTTTAACTCATATTATTTTTTATTTCGTGATTCATCTCTAACATCTATGTATTTCAAATGTTTTTCTTTATTAGACCTCTAATAGGCTTCACAACTTCCCCCGACACCTACTTTATGTATACTTGCATGGTTGTGTTTATAAAACTCCATAAAAATATATATACAAAGCCTAACATAAGCTCTAATAGATGATGCAAGAAAGATGGTAGAAAGAACAATTGTATTTTGTTAAAACAATGTAGTTTTTGATGGTTCTATACCTAATATTAGGTACAGCCACATATTCCTCAAGCCCTATATATATATATATATATATATATATATATATATATATATATATATATATATATATCATGGTTGTAAAAATCGTTCGGCGGTTTAGCTCGGCGGTCGACTGACGATAAGCGATTAATCAGACTCGGCGGGGATTAATCGGCGATTAATCGGGGACCCTAAATTATTAATAAAATTATTAAAAAAAATCAATATTTCCTAAAAAAATTAAGTATTTGGAAATTTTAAATTTTAAAATTTTGAAATTTTAAAAATTTTAGTATAATATTTTAAAATTTGAAACCTTAAAATTTTGGTGTAATATTAGAAAAAAAAAATTTTTTTTTTTTGAATTTTTTAAGTATTTCCCGCCTATGACCGCCGAGGACCGCCAAGGCCGCCAAGGACCGCCAAGCCCGAGTTTGACCGATTTTGACCAATTTCCGTCAAGCACCCTAATCGTAATCGGTTCGAGGCCGCCAAGCAATAATCGACCGCCAAGGTCGATTTCTGCAACACTGATATATATATATATATATATAGATATATATATATATATATATATATATATATATATATATATCTATATATATATATATATATATATATATGGCTGTCATGTACCTAAGCTTATATATAGAACCCTCCAAAATATGTAGTTTTGATCCATATATATCAAAACCAATCATGATATCTCGTTTACTAATCTTCATTAATCATGTGACTTACTAAATCAATTGAAATTATATTCTTTTTCTTCATTGTGTCTAAGAACTTAAAGCATTAAAACTCATAACCATTTAATGAACTCTACTAAAATTTAAATGAAAATTAATAGAATAAAAGATAAAAGAAGAACATACAATAACTCAATCAAGGTTTTCACAAATCATTAGAAATAGTTTTTAATTAAAGGACAAAACTTTTGAGTTATATTCGATAAAAAAAATATTGGTTTTTTACTATCCCTATAAACTTCAATGATTTTTTGCAATAAAAAAATATATATAATTGATGTTTTGCATTCCATTATTTAACTCAATTCAATGATATTCTATTAAAACAAATATAAAACAAAAAATGAATTTGGATTTATTTTTTTGTTTAAAACTACGTCATTTTAAAGGTTCTACACCTAAGCTTAGGTACATAACAGCCACATATTCAACTTTTCTCATATATATATATATATATATATATATATATATATATATAGTCAAGATCAAATAAGAAGAAACATTTTGGTAGGAAGGTAAGAAATTTTTTTTCTATATATTTTTTTAACGAACAAACAAATGAATCATTAGATGATTCATTTGTAAGATGATTCACAAGAAAAAATTCCCAAAAAAACATATTCATGATTCATTTTTAAATAAATTAAGAAAAAAATCAATTTTATGACAATTTTAGTGAATAACAACAAAATCATTGTATAAATGAATTATCGAGATGTTTTTTTTTGAGATTTTTTTTGTAAATCATGTTATTTTTGATTCATCTAGTGATTCGTTTATTTTGTTCGTCAAAAAAATATATAAAAAAAAAAACTTCTTATCTTCCTACAAAAAAAAAAATTTACCGGATATATAAAAATTACCCTCAATCTTCAGACTTAAAAACACGCTTTATAATTACAAGTACCATAAAGTTACTTCAGTTGTGACAAAAAATATAATACTTGATGACTTGCACTCTAATAAGAACAAAATAACAAAATTGCAATACTCATTGTATACGTTCATAGTAACGCATTTGAAAATCAAAAATTGTCTCTCAAAAAGAAAACAATATCTAATTTAATAGATTCATTTAGTAAAAATACATAACGCCATAAAGAATATCAATCAACCATCTTAAATCAATTTTCAGGAAAAACAAAAAGTTGTATATGCAAATATACAATCCACAGTTGTCTCGATATTAATAGTTAATTTACCAAAAAAACGTTTACATATCTAGACCACAATTTTATGACAGGAAAAACGAATTACACACAAGGTTTTTGGCAACAAAAAAGCAACACTAGTCTATCAAACGTTACTCTAATCAAATGACACACAATACTGAATACCCTCCTGCCAAAAAGAAAACGCCCTCGTTTCATCTCTCCTATGAAAATTCATCAATCAATAAAACAAAGGTTTTATGTTGGGCCATGCTTAAATTGGCTTTGAAACCTTGGTTCAAGAAAAAGAAAACAATCGTGTATGAGTATATATATAACTTAAAAATATAGCCTAGTGAAACAAAAATCCATGGTGAAGAAGCAAACAAACAGGATGACGTCTTATCAGCACCATAGATATTAGATAGATAGATAAGTTCCCGATAAAAAGATGTCCTTGGCATCAACTCAAACGGTTATAAAAATTAATTCAAATTCATGTATTTGATTTGAAGTCCCCCTGTTAATCCAGCAGATAATCAGCATATATGTATTTATGAAAAAGACAAACAAAAAAAAAATAAAAAAAGTAGAGAGGAAATTAGCTTACCTGGTGGATATTAATATATTATTGCTGGACTTGTCGATGGATCTGAATTATCCAATCAGCATAACCATTCATACCACCAACCTGATCCTCAACCAGATTCAAAAGCAAAAAGAAACCTTCCCGAGGCTGTTCCCCTTGTCTAACAAGATGACATAATTGATAATAAGATGCGTCCCCTTCTCTGAGTCTCTTTAATATCCCCATCAGCTTTCTCGACAATTCATTCTCACGTTCATTCAGACAAACCTGGCTCTTAAAAACCCCATCATAATCATCATTAAATAATATTTTCAAATTTCAATCTGGTTCTTCAAACACGTATAACAAACAATACCTTGGAGAAGTCTGAAGCAGATGAATCCTCGTCTACTAGATTCCTGGCTAAATCAGGCGAAAGCATGCGCCCAAACCACACCACAAAACGAAAACCGTCATCAAATATATAAATCCCTCGTGAATCCAAACTCTCTGCAACAAGTGGAAGCCGTTTACAAATTCTCTCAAATTCACCATCAACTCTAGGTGCCTGTGGCGTATACAATAAACTAAACGGTTCAATAAACCATAAAGCATATCACCATGTACTGAAAAAAATGCAAAATAAAATAAATTACCTTCACAAGATACTCGTCGACTCGTAACAGGCTAGGATATAAGAGTTTTAACATTTTCTTAACGGGTAAAGCCATCATGGTAAAACCTGCTGCACATCTTTCATCAAGCTGTGCATCAGCATACCCACCACGAAGTGCGGTTGATTTACATAGTGACAATCCGTAAATAGATAAATATTTTAATGATTCTGGGTAAATCATCCTGTTTCCCACACGATGCTGCACAGCATGAAGTTTTCTGTATTCTTTTAGAGCTTTCACGATTCTTAGTTGGATCGCGTTACGCGCGTCTTCCAATTTATACGTCAAAGATTTTTCAATTGCTGCACAGTCGCAAACATAAAAAAAATTAAAAAAATCTCTTTTCTTTCCTTTTTGGGAGAAATAAATAGACTTTGCTTACCTAATCTACCAAGTAAGGAAACAATGGCACCAGTATCTGCCTGGCGATACATTTCTCCTAAATCTGCAACCACTGATGCTGCAGCGGTGTGTACTCTAATACGCCTTTCACCACAAGATGCAGTGTATCTTTTGGTGGTTAGGTTAAGTATTCAGTATTCAGATTAAGAAGCTAGGGTTATAGAAAATCTTTAATTTCACAGAAAAATATTATTGAAGAATTGTAGGATACAATAAAGCCACTTGGAAATATACAATCTGAGTTGTGAGCAATGTCTCTTCAAGAGCAAATTGCATTGCATAAGCTTTGTCACAGTCTACGGCTGGAAGTGCTAAAAGATCTGTGGATCTTAGCATAAAGTTTCCATGATAAGAAGTGAAACGCACTCCTGCAGAGACAGATTAATTAAAATCAGTCTTTTACTGAAATTGGTAACTATTATATGCAACTACCATTGTTACATAACTACTGTTTCTTTGTTAACAGATAAACCATATATGGGTGTTGTTTTACTAAATGCAGAAACAACGGCTTAATAGATAAAGCCAGGGAACCGAGGCTTTCCCCATTATTCCAACTGTTTACAAATTTCACAATATCTACTTTTGGGCTAAATGCAAGAAATAGCAACATACTTGTGTATTAATCCTACTTTAATTTCTTTCTATTACACCATTGTACATTCAATTTTTCCTTATCAAGGTGTTGTACTTTAAAAAATCTACCATTTATAGCACTGTACTTTCAAAAACAAATTTATTATTAATAAATTACACCTTGAAATTATAGAAGTATAAATTGCTTTGTATTTCAACGACATTGCTATAATTGGGTAGATTCTATAAAATATAAGGTTGTAATAGTAAGAAATGAAAGTACGATGCTATAACAAACAAATCAATAGAAGTGAGTTGCTATTTCTTGCAGTAAACCCTCTATTTTTTTCCTTCCATTTTCCCAAATGTGCTGTAATTATTTTTCAAATATTTTTTGACCAATATTTATCCTGAAGGCACTTAATAGGGAAAAAAAGAAAAAGAAAAGGAAAAAGGGTGATAGTCTCAGAAGTAGACTAACCTTTCCCACATCTGATACGCATCACAGCTTCCCATGCAGTTTCTCTAGTAAGATCTCTAGCCAACTCATGTCTCAGCTTCTCTGTATGAATGGCAGAATGGAAGCTTGGATAATAATATACCTGCCCACCAGTGTATTTTGCCAAAGTGCCTGCATTATGCATGTAAAAGTAAAACAATCAACACTGTTGATCCTCAAAACACATAAAACTTATATATAACAGTAAAGGGATATTTCTTTTTCATTTAAAGGCCTTAATGAGAACAGAATTTAATCCCGTAAGCTATATATATCAGTGTTCCTTTTTGACTTGATGCAGAAAGAACGACGACCTAGAAGAGAAAGTCTTATTTTCTATAAATTAGCCCTAATTTATTTTTTCTCATTTTCATTTCCCCAAGAGTGTTGTCGATTTCTAAAATACCATTTATCCAGAGAGCATATAAATATAGAAAGAAGTTGGTCATGGGTGCATACCTAGTGAAGCTATATCAGTATACTTGTCACTGAATGCATATATATTGACTGCAACCTGGAATTTAGTAAAATCGGCTGCCATCTGTTTATAAAATGGGTCTTCTGGTATTCTTAAAGCATGTTCTTTATCTGTTCCATAAACACGAAGATCGTCTCCACGCAACCTCAAACGACCAACACCAAGTGAGGGAAGAGTGCTCTGGAAAATTAACAATTTCCCTCCAAGTTGGCTCTGAATAAAACAAAACATAACTTATTAATGAAGTTATTTGCAGAAAACCATTTTAATCGGTCCAGGTTGCTGACCAATTGCCAAACATCATAAACAAAAATACATATTACATCATGCAAGAAGTTTAAGATGGTGGATCATATGAAGTTGACCATTATTTTGCAGAATGTATTTGAAGGAGTTGGAATCTGTAAAAGGAATTGGAATTTGTAGGAATTGAATTCCGTCACGTGTTAATTTGTGAGTGTTCACGAGCGAGAAGAGGTGTTTACTTGTGAAACTCTATAGGGTTAAAAGGGTATTTGAGTATTTCTAAAAGAAAGAAATGTTGAGAACTGAATTCCATGAGTTATAGGATATAGGATGAAAGATTCTTACCATAACCATAAAAGCTGCTTTGAGGGCTGGCCCAAAAGCAGATTCAACATTGACATTGTCCTGAAACATGGAAGGCAAGCTATCCAGGAATGCCTCAACCACAGGTCTAGAGTCTGATAAGTTGACAAGGAGATCATCTGGCAACGGAACAAAAATATCATCCAAATCTGAGACGACCATCATTTGAGGCTGTGTCAAAGATGACTGGAAAAAGAAAAACAACAAGGGTGGTTTTTTTAAGTTCAACATCAGTTAACATTATAATAACGAATAATGTATAATGTATAGGCAGTTAAACTATAAATCACTTGCCTTCATATTATAAAAATGAACGGTGCTGTCAAAAGTAATGAACCCAATCTGTGTTCTGGGGCTGCCTGGCAACTTATCCAAACAGGATTTTATAGTTTGTGCCATCACCTAACAAAAAGAAATGCATAAATATTATCATGGGAAATTGATACTTGGATCATATATAAGATTCATGTGTTTGAATAGGATTCCAAGGTCAATTAAGGAGGACAACGTCTTAAAAACCAGTCTGCTTAATGACCAATTTAACCTTTTCCTGTTCATGACTTTATTGCCCCCACTTTTTTGGTTGTTATTTACAAATAGCCTTGATGGTCATGAATTCATGATCCTTAGTGTATGTAATAATAATGAGGCAGCTTAAAACTATTGTCATGAAACTCTATATGCAATCAATACTTTACTTCCATGCTTGAATTTTTGTACTGGTTCTTCTACCTTTAAATGTAAATCATTTAGGCCTTGTCGCTTTTTTTCTTCGTTATATGTTGTCTAGATTAAGTTTTTGTCTGACTAAATGATGTATGATATCTAACTGGAGGAAGTGTTGTATGAACGGATACTATTTCTTTTTTGGGCTAAATGACCATTTTACCCTTCTATTTAGAATTACTGTTGAACTGTCTGTTTGATAATTGCTCAGCATGTAAATCTGAATGATAAAAAAACTATACATTTATGAAATACTTACGTGAAAAATATTATATTATATATAATAATGATATAGATTATTAAAAATTGATATAAATAAGTCGTTCTTTCTACAGTAAGTCAAAAAGAAACAGAATCTTGGTTTACTCTGCAGCCCAATTGATTGTGTTCTTCATGCAATATGTATTTACCATCTTGAAATTTTTTAACAATATGACAACTAGGTTCATAATTTGTGTTCCTAGGTTTTCAACACACACAACAATATTATAAAGATGATTATTCTAATCTACCAAGCCTGCATACTCTAGAACTTGCATCCCCTTGGGTCCCATAACACATTTGTTCATAATTTGGTCAAGGTTCCAGCAAAACAACTGGTGTTGCATCACTGCACAACATCAATTTCATGTCTGCAAACATAACTGTAGGTAGTAGGCACCTATTCTTACATAACATGTACAAGCCAAGAACAATATATACATGCTTCCAAGAATATATCTAAAGAAAACGCTTACCTCAAGCATTCCACTTTTAACTGCAGATATCGACACATCGATCAAGAAAAAGTACAGTGGTGGCATTGGAGGCCGAACCATGTACTCAGCAGGAGCAACAAATTCCACAGAACCCTTTGTAAGCTCGGGATGTTGATCCAGATCAACTCTTTTTCCAGTGGCATCCAAATGAGCAAAATAATCATTTTGCACTGTATAATATATTACAGATAGAAATTATTTAGCATGAATATCATAATGGTAACAAGGTTTCATACATGAGTCACGACAGTGATGAATCAATAATCTTCTCTAAACTGATGATGAAGCAGCATAAAAATAATGATTTGGCACATTATGGAGAAACAGTTCCATACATCGACAATATATTGTCAGAGTACTGTTTCAATCAAGACTCACCAATATTGAAAAACAGATCATGTAATTGTGAAAGGAACTAAAAGTATTACCATCATTAAGCAAAGCACATATATTGCATCTCCACTTTCTTCCACCATCTGTAAAAGTCACATACGGGTTCACATATGTACGACATCTTCTACAACGCACAATGCCCGTTGTAGCAAAATTAACTATTGGAACTTCCTCCTGGACAATAAACAGCAGAATAGTTAGACAATTGTTTTATTGAATAGCACACATAGCATCTATGTAGTTGCTTTGAGTGCAGGAACACCCACCCCCTCAGGAGCTTCTGCCAGGGGACAAACAACTGCTCCAAGAGGCAACTGCCACCTTGAAACCAGAGACTGTGAATTTGGTATAGCACTAGTGGTAAGTCGTAGGAATCTAGAATCACAATTCATGGGATACATCCCAGCAAAAGCAGTTGGTTCTACATCACCATCCAGTGGTCTTGGCAGCACTTTACTATCAAGCCCAACATCAAATGATCCAGGCGTAGATCCTAGAGAAAGTGAGCTAAATTCTTCTACCAAACCACCCGCCATAGCTCCCGTTGGAGGTGCGGAGCCTCCCACATACATTCCTGGTTGAGATGCTCCTGGTGGAGGTTGTCCATAAGCACCTTGATGAGAAGAAAAAGGAGCAGCTGCAGTTGGCTGAGGGACATAACCTCCTTGATGAGAAGGAAAAGGAGAAGATGCGGTTGGCTGAGGGTTATAACCTCCTTGATTAGAAGGAAAAGGAGAAGATGCAGCTGGCTGAGGGGTATAACCTCCTTGATTAGAAGAAAAAGGAGAAGATGCAGTTGGCTGAGGGGTATAACCTCCTTGATTAGAAGAAAAAGGAGAAGATGCGGTTGGCTGAGGGGTATAGCCTCCTTGATGAGAACCTGGTGGAGGCGGTGGTGGTGGTGATGTTACTGTGTTACTCTGTATATAGCCAGGTAAAGAAGATGGTGGTCCTGTTGGGAGTGTAGGTTGCTGCATGTTTGGCCTAGAAGAAACACTGTACAAGCTTTGGGGTGGGGATCCCATTGGTGCTGGTGGTGGCGGACGATTTAGGGAGGTTGACATTGGTGGAACATGGCCGGGAGGTGGAGGTCTCATTGTTGGAGGGAATATGGGCTGCCCCACACCGGAAGTTGGTGGCATGGATGGTTGAGCTGCTGAGGGGAACGGTGGAGTTGGGAAACGCTGTGTAGGTCCTGTGGTTGGTGGGCCATATGAAGGAGTAGGCCTACCTGGTTGCATGGGTCTAAAACCAGGAGTCCCGGATCCAACCGTGGGCCCAGGAGAAGAAAATGGAGTAGTTAATGTTGCAGGGACTGATGTTGGCCTGAAAGCAGAGGCCTCTGATCCAACCACAGGATGAGAAGAAGAAATGGGCATGTTGCTTCGAGGAGCTGCAAAAGGAGTAGGAGTTGGCCCTGGATAAGTATTCACACGGTTTGGATTTTCAGTCCCCATTGCTTGCTTATGTTGCACTGTATCACTTTATTGTTAGGCTTCCATAAATAATCTGCAAGATCATGCAATTTCATTCGTGTTATTTTTTGATGAAGCTCAAAATTATATTATACATCATTTTGTATCTAACACACAGCATAGACATGCATGCATTATGTATACACAGACAGGAGAAGTACAATTGATATAAAAAAAGCCCTTGAATTTTAATAATTCTTGTTTTATGATTTTGTCTACTTATATAATATGATTATATCTCGACATATTCACTTTCCATAAATCATGTTTTTATATGGCCATGTGCAAGGTGTCTTCTGAACCATCTAGGTCACAACAAAATGCTAGCCATCTTTACTAGATGATTGCAATGTTCAACAAAACACAAAGTGCATTTTGAGGGGGGGGAGGGAAGGGGGGGGGGGGGGGGGGGGGGGGGGGGGGGGTTGGACACATATTCAACCCATCATGTCGCTTTCACAAAACTTATTGCTTTGTGCAAGTACAAATCGTTCCCCTCTTCGTTGAATTTCTTTGACTAGAGTGTCTAAACTTGTTGATTTTGAGCATAATTGCTAGAGGTCATTTGCATACATATGTTGCTTTTCGGTAGATTTATTGGATGGGGCTAGGATGAGCATCTAGCCAAACTTATCAATACATTTTTTACGGATTTTACAACCAGAGGTCTAAGCATCTAGGCCTGGAATCCTATAAACATGTATTCCATCATTTCCCAAAAATCAGGTGCAACTTAGTAGGATTTATACTTCATGGTGCTTATGCAGGAATGCAAATGTACGAAGTGAATTTATATAGAAATACTGCCGAGTAAAAGTAAACTCATGTCAATCTATGATCCACAATGCAACTTGGTGGACCGCTAACATTGAAAAAGCACCTCCAGCCTATGCAAGTTTAGTAACAATGTTATATGGATAGCAAAGAACCAATTATTCTAAGAACTGCAGTTAATGAGAAATAAGTTCACATCTAGAACTAAATGAGATCTAATAACAAAACCACCAGAATTCATGCACCCACGACTAATAAAGTGTATTTTGCTTTGCTATTTTTAACAATTTATTGATAAGTTTGGGTAGAAGTAGAACTGGCTTTCCAAACGTAGCAATCATAAAGATTAAAATTGTAGGGCTAATGTTGGTCAGAAGTAGTTGTAAACTTACATAAAGAAGAACTGTATGAAATGAAAGATCAAATTTGGCATGATATAATGTTCAATTCGGCACGAACCTAACAAGTGAGTAGATACTTTCTATCAATTAAATTTTGTAACCAAATCAGTTTTTTTATTAAAATTAGGAAAAACTGAATCCGTGCCTCCTACATACAAGTCGCAAGTTTTGCTGTTTAACTCATATTAGATTTGTATCCATGGAACTTACCAAACAATTCAATAGCGGAATCAAATATCTTTCAACTGCTGCTAGCATGCACTAATACAGACTACACGATGGAATCAAATTTAGAATGACGTTGTCAGTCAATCGCCAGACAGCTAAACTTGATCTCCACCAACAAAACCGGATTAATATAAATAAGCAAGTTAACCATCAGTTCGGCAACCAAAATCCTATCAATAATTAAGCAAACACGAAATCCAACACACTCCGGTGATGTCGACAACGGCCATATGAAGAATTACCTGATCGGAGGAGATCTAACCGAAGGGTGACCGAAAAGGAGTTGATGAAGGCAGCAAGGCAATCGGCAATGGAGATGTGAGCGTCCACAGACAACGATTTATTGCTCTTGTTGTTGCTCTTGCGCTCTCTCTCCAGAACAGAATGTAAACAGAAACCTACAAATGGAGATTCGTTATATATATGAAACTATAATTGATTTTCCAATTGTTGACGGTGAAATCGATTTGGACTGGGAAAGAAGTCAGAGTAAACCTCCAATTATTGTATCTTCGGGAAATCGAACGGTAGATTAGGAACCCTAATCGATCGATTTACTGTCATTGCTTGTGTGTGAAAGGTGAAAACACAGTTTTTTACAAGTAATATTGTCAGATCAAATTTCGAATATATAAAATCTGTTAGTAGATAAAATATAATTTAAAAAAGGGAAAATACCGCAAATAGACAAAAAATAGGGTGAATTTCTAAATTTAGTCATAAAACAAGATTTTTCCAACTATAGACATACATTCCGCGGAGGACCCTCCGCGGACCTCTGCGGAATGACGTCATCTCCGCGGACCACGCGAAAGTCTGATTTTTTAACGTTTAAAAGAGTGTTCCGCGTAGGCCCTCTGCGGATAATACAATACACCTCCGCGGAGTGAGTTTTGGAGGTCATAAATACCTCCGCGGAGATGGTGACGAGGAGCTCCGCGGAGAGAGTAATGTCTCCGCGGAATGGGTGGTTGGAACGGATTTTAGACGGTTTTTTGATACAAAGTGTTCTTTTCATTTTTTTAGCTCCATTTGGTTGATAGATCAATTCTTTTCATTTGATTTTCAAAAAAATATATGAGTTTTGTTATTTTATGTACTGGGGGTTTTTGGCAGATAAGTAATGGGATTAACACCTACGTTAGACCAAAGTTTAACAACTTTTACGTGTTACTATGTTCCGCCAAATTTTGATCGTCGAATATGGTTTGATTTGGTCAAAGTAAGGCTAATGTGTTCAATAGTAATATATCATTGTCATTTCAACACCCGGTTCATGGGATTGGTTAAACAGACATAAGCGGTTCAAAAAGTTGTACCATACAATGTTGAAAACGTTGTATCTGATAATGTTGAAGAGTGTCCAGAAGAAGAAACTGTGGCAGTGAATACGGTTGAAGAAAAAAAATTATATGAGTTTGGAAGACTGACTGACAAAACTTTGTCAGACGGTGAAGAGTCAAATGAAGGATGGTCAGAAGATGAGTTCACACACGGGAAAAAAGCTTCAGACATATTTTACGGTATGCCTCCCATACCTGATTGTCCTGATCCTATTGTTGAACCCGGACCATTTCACAGTTTAGGTCCAAATGATGATATGTTTGTTTCGTCAAACATATGATAACAAACAACAACTAATATTTGCTTTGAGTCTTAAAGCAACCAGAGAAAAGTTTCAGTTTAAGACCAAACATTCTAACAAAAATCGTTATGAGGTATATTGTGAAATTGAAAACTGTTGTTGGCGTTTATATGCAAAACGCCTTGATCCCACTGATGAATTTGAAATCAGGACTTTCAACAACGTGCACACATGTTCGTCATTACAGATACACCCTAATCATAAGCATGCTAATAAAAAAGTGATGGGTACTATATTGCATGAGATTATGGGAAAAACTCGTTCCAAGGTTTGGAGGCCTAATGAAATATCAAGGGATTTGAATGCTTTGCTGGAAATCAATGTAGATTACAAACAAGCTTGGCGTGCAAAACAATATGCTATGGAACTGTTGTAGGGATCCTCTGAAGAATGTTTTTCCAACTTCCTATTTATTTTCACAATTTGAAGAGGCATAATCCCGGTACAGTGGCCTATATTCAAACAAACAGATTCTGAAGATTGTTTCGAGTGTTGTTTTTATGCCATTGGGAGCACGGTAAATACAAAAAAACTTGTTGTTATTTAATATATAATTTTTTTAACAAACTATAGAGTGTTTATGTGTTCCATTTTAATATATTGCAGATACGAGCGTTCAAACGTTTTTGTCGTAAAGTTATAATTATGGATGGTGCCCATTTGAAGGGTGATTTTAAGGGAACCATATTGCATGCAGTAGCTATGGATGGGAACAACCAGATACTGCCCTTGCGCACGGAATATGCAAAAAAGAGAGTGGTTTACTTGGACATGGTTTCTTGAAAAGTTGTATGAATGTGTTGGTGATTGTCAAGAATTGACTTTTGTACTGATAGGGCCGATGCAATTCGGGTTAGTATTGAAAATGTTTTCCCAATGCTCATCATGGCTTGTGTGCTTTTCATCTACTAGGAAACATAGTACACAGGTTTGGGAAAATGATAAAACAAAAGTGTTGTTTTGGAGGCTTGTGAAAGCTTACAAAAAAATGTTTTGAAGAATTGTGGTATAGATTTAGTTCTACTAGGCCGCAAGTAGCAGCGTATCTAAGTGAAATTCCCCGTGCTAAGTGGACTAGAGCATATTCGCTGTCGAAACGGTACGATTACATGACCTCGAACAGTGCAGAGTCCATGAATGCTTTATCTGTAGATGCAAGGAAGATGCCTATAATACCCCTTCTTGAGTTCTTCCGTCGTCTTTCACAGAATGGTGTAACAAGCGTCGCATCGAAGGAGGTATGAATTTAATTTGGACTTTAATTAGGTCGAATAATAAGTTAATTATATATATCTTCTTTACAGGGAAACGTTCAACAGTGCTAACCGAGTGGGCTGAAAAAGTAGTTAGTAAAAATGAAGAGCGTACGACAGGATGGTCCGTTTCTGGTGTTTCAGATGCAATATATCAAGTTCATGATTTCAAACATGGTGGCATAGTTGATCTGAGGCAAGAGACTTGTACATGCAAATATTGGGAAGGAACTGGGTTGCCTTGTGGTCATGTCATAATGGTCTTGAAGCACTTGAAAAAAACTAACTTCGGACATCTGGCTATAGATGCTTACAAAATGGAACGTACCGAAGTACGTATGAGGAGCCTTTTACCCCCTTCCAGAACCGTGTGATTGGGAGATTCCTGCTGAGATGATGGTTGTTAAACCCCCGATAATGGATACACGTCAAGCTGGTAGACCGAGAAACAGAAATCGTATCCCGTCACAAGGTGAGGAACCTATAGTAAGAAGGTGTAGTAGATGTGATAGTACAACACATAATGCAGCGACTTGTCCGGCATTGGTCCCAAAGAAACAAAAAAAGGCTACAAAAAGTAGTGCGAACATCAGGTAGTAACACAAAAGGGAAGGGAAAGGGACAGAAGGGACTCAGGAGACGCTAGAGACGCACGGACACAAGAGACGCGTTGGACGAGTGGGACGCAGAGAGAAGACTATTGTTCAACGTTTGATTTGAATGATTGATGTTGTATTTATAATTAATTATGTTTTGTTTTAGAGGACATTAATTTGTGTACTTTGAAATGGTGTGTTTATTTTAAAGATGATGGGTAATATTATGATTATATTAGTGCATAATTACTAGTAGAATAATAACTAATACTCGAAGATAATACATTCAACAAACCAGAAAACATATTAAACGTACAACAACAGTAATTAACTTAAGGGAATTGCAAAGGATACTTTCTTTTCTCCATTGTTATGTAGTCGTCCCTAATTCTTATTTTATCTTCCATACGGTCCTTTGGCTACCAAGTTCTATCATTTCTGCATCCTTGTCAGCAAGCCATTTTTCAGACAGTTTGATATTCTTCTTAGTTTTTTTATCCATTCCTCATGATCTTTGATTTTTTTTTAGTAATCGTCATCCTTTCCTCAACCTCTTTGCACTCCGCCGCAATGAGGTCACGACGTTCAGTGAGAGCTCGAGATGAGTCTTTATCTTTTTTTTTTTGTTTCTTCAGCCCATTGTAGTTGTTGCAAAGTATCCTCACATATACGGCTCTCTTAAATTTGGTGATGGGGCAAGAAAAGGTCGATCGGATCACAATAGAAACAATCAACTTCGTTGCACGAGCAAATATACAAAGTTGAAGATGAACTCATTTTAAATTTAAAAAATTATAACTCTATACCAAAATCCAACGACCATCCATGACTATATATAGTCCCTTCCACTCCGCAGAGAGCTGTTGTCAGTCCGCAGAGCTTTTTGTCAGTCCGCAATAATGTTTGTCAGTCCGCAGAGCTGTTTGTCTAGTCGTTGTCATCCATACATTACAATTATGGAATACAATTATTATTTAAAGGTAAACATTTTTTATTAAAAAGTAAAGAACGCCAACAGACCATTACAACTACGGTTAACATAGAACTGAATACAAACTAATATTCGTTGTGATCCATACAATACAGTTCAATTGAATTGTCGTGGAGGTAAGACCACAACACTTTCAACTGGTATTTCCCAATGCCTAAGGGTTGGAATAGGATTGACCGTCTCAGTTTGATAAGCATTTCGATACACCGCTGTACTTAACTTTAAATTTACCATTTGCTGGATTTCTGCAATTTCGAGTCTTTGTAGTGAAGCTATAGCATGCTCACAAGGTATACCGCATTTTTGCCATTTACCGCAACTACAAATACCACGGTCTAATTGGACAGATTCGGTTGTTGAATACTTAGTCACTTCATATCTGTCGCCAACAATATGCGTAATCCTACAACCATCCGAGTGGATAAATCTTTTATGAATCACCTTAAGTGCATAAGGGGTTAGAAGACCATGAAAATCCCCTGTGAAATGAACTGAATCAAAAAACAAAAAAAATATGATGTCATAACGTATAATAACATATCAATTCACCATTTGAGTGATGTCATAACTTATAATTACCTCCAAACGCAGCACGTTGAAGATACACTGCTTGCATCGAGTCATGGACCATTTCAATGATTGTTGTTATTGGAAACTCATGCGTGTTTGTTTAAAACCAATTGACAACAACGGGAATGTCAATGAATTTAACATTGAAACGTACTCTTGGAAAACAAGCCCGTACCCATTTTGCAATGGGAATATTGTCAAGCCAATGAAGATCATTCCCATTAACCTCATTTTTTAAGTTGTTCAAACATGCATAAAAATGAGATAAATTATACGCTTTACAAGTCTTCCAGAACAACTGCTCTACGACTGTATTGCTTCCGATGGAAGCGCGTATTTTCTCGGCTATATTTTTACAACAATAGCCATGATATGAATCAGGGTAGACTCTTTGAACTGCAAAGTCTATAGAATCAGACATATGGCTTATGAAACCAACTTTGTATTGTCACCTAAACATTCTTTAAGCCTCCTCATGAACCATAACCATGAATTGTCACAGTTTATGGTTCCCAAAGCAAACGCTATGAGAAGGGGTTCATGATTTCCATCTAAAGCAACCGCAATGTACATGGATCTTACATACGCCCCAATTAGAGGTACTTGACCAACGAATATGATTGGTATCATAGACGTGAGAAACGTACGAATCTGTAAGTCAACATAAGAATATTAGGCATATAACAACTTGAAATAACTAAATATTTATTTACTATAAGGGATTACATACCACGCATCCCAATGCCACGAAACAAATTTGGAAACGATTGTACTGATCTTTCGTAATGTACGTGAAGGTGTTAGGATTGGTTCTTTGCAGATTATGGAAAAAAGTCGGTAGGCTGGAGAAACTTTTTCTTAATACCTGATTGACTGAACTCATTTTCACAACTTTCGACACCTTGTAAAAATGGAAATGCTTGTCCAATTTATAAGGAATTAGTATACATTATTCCGCAGAACTTACTTGTCAGTCCGCATAAATGACTTGTCACTACGCGTAACTTATTTGTCAGTCCGCGTAAATGACTTGTCACTGCGCGTAACTTTTTTGTCAGTCCGCGTAACCTGTTTGAATGTATGGTTTTAAACATGGGAAATTTTTTCATAAATAAAGGATAAAGCAATACAAGAAATAAGCATACAAAACGCAGTACTAGTTAAAAAAACGGGACATTTTCAAAAGATTCCAAGGGGCTTCATACTCGAAACTCTGTCCGTTGCTAATGGATTTGTATTCTTCTTTAGCCGCCTCCAAGATGTCTTCCTCAGTATCATTCACACGATCGTCTTCAATCTTATTATAAAGATCGTTGAATAACACAACTTCTGTTTTCAATTCATACCATTTTGCAACTATATCAAGCGTGTTGCGATGGTTTTCTATGGTGGTTTCAGCGTCAGTGTTGAACGTATTCGTTAATAGGACCCAAAACATTCTATCCTCCAAACTGGTGTTCTCGTAGACATTAATATATGCACGAGTTAGAAGCAAATACTCGTTAGCGGTCCATGGGTTTGAACCCATTGTAAAACATACAAACTACATGAACTAAAATAGATTAGATGAAGTGATACATAATTTTTTGTCATTTTATATAGACATGACAGTCCGCAAATATCCAACGATCATCCATGACAATATATAGACCCTTCAACTCCGCAGAGAGTTGTTCGTCGGTCCGCGTTACTGACTTGTCATTCCGCATAGCTATTCGTCAGTCCGCGTTACTGACTTGTCAGTCCGCATAGCTATTCGTCAGTCCGCGTTACTGACTTGTCAGTCCGCGTTACCTATCTTTTTATATATAGTAAAGCACATATCTATACGTCCGAATTAGAGGTAAGGGATCATTTCACAAAATGACATCCAATGTACCAACGTCTTCAAATGCAACTAATCTGTCTAATGCGTCTGCTCCAACAAATGGTACATCTCCATGGACGACAACAGAGGTGTTGGTCCTAACATGATGTTGGATTACCGTTTACGAGGGTCTGCCGGTAATAGCTCCCCTTAATTGCCTTCTTGGTGATGAATGGTCCCGCTTAGTAGCTTTGTTCAACTATAACGTGGGACAAGGACAAAAATGACTAAAACCCGATATTGTTAGTAAATGGATGGATTTAAAGACTAAAGTCACATGGTACAATCGATGCTACAATTATGAGAAAATGCGATGCTCTGATGCTGATGATGAGAACTTCTTGAATACGTGAACGGATATTACCTGTGCCAGTTTGATGAAACTGAGTTCGAGTATACGGACGTTTGGAATCTGGTTAGAAATAAACCCTTTTTCATGTAGACGACTCTTTTATTCGTAATGTTCTATGTAATGTTTGTTAGTCGTTCATCTTTTATTTGCATGTTTTCTGTAATGTTATTATGTTATTTCAAATGTTTGTTTTGTTTTTAATGTATCGTAATATATGTTGGTGAATTATGTTTCAAAAAATATGATACAAAAGTTGTTTATATTAAACAAAACTACTAAAAACAAGTATTTCATAATAATGTATACAAACTTCCAAACATCAAGTTATTTAGTATCCCAAATAATATTTGTCATCCTATTTCTGTAGAGAAATCCCGCATCTCTACATGGCTTATCACTCTTCACCGGTACCCCCGAAGCAATCATTTCCATATACATGCTTACGAATACTCCACAATCCCCTCTATTAGTAATATATTCTTGTTGTGGCGCGTCTACAATATCAATAAACTCCACAACTGCGTTGTCTTTGTGTCCATCGGGGAAATCCTTCCAGTAGTCAATCGCATCTAGCTCTTCGATTATACTATCCCCAAAACTTTTGAATTCTCCACCAGTCAAGTACGTTGTGAAGTAATTCATACATCGTGCTGAATCATAAATGTGTACTTTCCAAATATCTAAATGTAGCACTGCCAAAAACCAATGGGCATGAGGAACGTTTATGGGAATAGAACCTGCAAACAAAAACAAATTTAATAGTCATTAATTCGTTTCCTATATAAAATAAATAATTAATAAACTTAACTAACCATATCCACATCCTTCCATTTAGGATGGCCTCCGACACCATTTGCAATATTCCTAAGAAAATATGTTTTTCCGTTTTGCAAATTAAGTTCTTGAGGGAATATCGTCCACCTTGCGTTCGCCGGCCGTCTTTCCATGAGCAAGGCACTCCATATCGCAATATGCTGTACATTTTAAGATAAAAATGTTACAGTTTTTTATATAAATTATCGTCTAAAAATGTAGTTAAAAATTATATTTAACGAATGTTACCGAAGAAATTAACCACCCAGCGTCAGTAACTGCAAGTAACCTCGACCAAAACTCCACATCCAGTGAGCATATGCAGCCTATGTTTAGTGTTTAGGTTGGAAGAGATCCTATTCCATTCTTTCCAAAAGTCAACGTACTGGCAGCTTCAACACTGTCGAGCAGAGATGATTTGAAACATCATTACTCTCTTCATTCACAATGTCTTCATTTGCTTTTTCAGGACTCTTCACCACTTTTTTTTCTTTGCTTTGGTGATTTTCTTCAATTTTGGTGTGGATTGCATCTAAAAAATTACATGTTAAATAATTATCAATACGTTAATATTTTAAAAATATACCAAATTTAAAATATGAGTTTTGTACCACTGTGAACGGAGTCCGCTGATACCATGGAACACCCCTCTTTCGTTGCGGCCTAACAATAGGAGTCATTTCTTTTGTGTGATGTTCACCAACGTCCGATGACGGCTCAACATGTGTAGGTGTAGACTCAAATTCCCCCTCCAAACCATGACTACCTATATTATCATAGTCAAAATGTGTATCATGGTAATATTTTTCTTCCTCCTCTTCATTTATCATCTCTTCCTCCTCTCGAAACCCTCTGTCTGGTTCAAAATTTGTGTCGGGTTCATCTTTTTCTGTAATACACGGTCTACTTTAGAACTTAAGTCAGCCACAACGCCTAGTAGACGCTTCACTAATGCCTTTGTGCTCGTCTTCTTCTTCTTTACCAATCTTGATGTGTCGTGTGACATATAACTTGTTTTTGTTTCAAGATGTTGCGAGGAAGAAGCATTTGTGGCAGATTCAGTCGAAGATGTTTCTATTTCGGACTTGTACATCCTTCTTCGAGCAGGCGAGGCAACATGAGGTGGACTATTTCGGACAGGACTATGTTGCCGTGGGGGAGACTCTACAGGGTTAAGAGTCCAATTGACATAACGAACATAAAACGGCAACATCAGCTCCTCGGGTTTGCCACGACATTAATAGGTTCGTTGTTAGGCTGCAAAAATCAGATTGTTAGTTTAACATGAAAATACATTGGAATTTGTAAATATAAATGATTGTTAATATAAAAACCATACCACAGACACGTTCATTATTCGACAACATTGAACCCAATTTAACGGTGTTTTACTTCTCCACTCCCTCCTCATCCGTGGCAATTCTGTCGGCGTGCGTATATAAAACTTGGTTGCCTCTGGGAACGTCTCCAAAATCCATATCTATGAAAAAAATGTAAGTATCGTTCTATTATACTATAAAAGTCATGATACAAACTTATTATATAAAACGAAGTTCAAATTTTTATAGTATAAAAAACTAAACAATGATAACTATTAAAATGCATTAGAAAGTAACCTTAAACGGAAGCATAAAACCGGGAACGGTATACTTGTGTACTTTCTTCGATTCGGGATTGGCCTGCTTGAATTCTCTAAACTCTTCTATTTTCTTAAACATTCCACGCATCATACGCGAAGTATATTTCCAGAAATACGTACCCCATGCAAACCTGCAATTTTCAATTTATTTATTATAATTAGTGCATTGCATACTACTGCGGGAATGCCTGTTTTAAATGTAATACCTGTTCCAATCATCTATATTATCAGCAAGCTTGTATACTGCTGCAGGAATGCCCGTTTTTAACGTCCCGTCCGTGTAGACCCTTCAACATAAAAACAAGCTGGATAAGCATCACACATCTTCATCTTGTAGTGCCAAATAATTCGGGGACATAATCAAGTCTTCTAAATCTTTCAGCCGCAAACGTGCATCAGAAATATCTGGGAACAACCGAGCACGGAGATTTGAATTTGACTGGCCCTTTTCGTCATGGAGTAAATCCACATAAGGACCAACTTTTAAACCACAAATCAGAATATATTCAGTTTCACACCAAAACCCAACTGGATCCCCTCTATATCAAACAGAAACCTCCCCCATTTCAAATATTTGTTGACACCTTACTTCGTGCAACATCATCATATGCACAAGTAAGGGATCACCATGTGGGATATGCATTCCTAAGAATATTCCAAAGGGCAGAAGCTTCGAATAATACTCGTTGTGATTGTGTTAGGCGCGGAAAATAGTCTTTAATGATAGTCCCCACCACGCCTTTCAAAGTTAAATCCGCTTTTTGATTGAGATCTTCGTGCTACACACCAAAAAAAATAAAAAATATTATTTCATTTAAAAACATTACTAATTGAAAATAAATAAAATATTATTCATTATGAAATAAATAGCAACATACTTAAAAGCAGAAAAATAAAATTGTGCAAAAAACATCACTCCGCGGAGGCTAGAGGTCATTCCGCGGAGGCCTCTCTGCGGAGTGACATCTAGCCTACGCGGAGCCTGCAATGTTGGATTATAACATTCCGCGGAGGAACACATCACTCCGCGGAGCACCCTCTGCGACTGACGTCCCCCTCCGGAATGGATCATCCCAAAAACGTATATGTGATTTGTAAACCTAAAAATCCTAAATCTGTATACATATTCAATGTAATCAAATGGGTTTTCCTCTAATTGAATCATATTCGACATTTCGACATTAAAATTAGATGAGAATGTGAGAAATACCCGGGAACCGTATCCATCGGCCATAACATCGGGGAATTCGGGGTCCATCGGTGACGGAAAGAGCTCTGCGACTCGATTTCGCCGGATTTGAAGTCGTCGCCGGAGTTGAAGTCGTCGCGGA